GCTATACATATACATATACACACACATATACATATATATATATATATATATATATATATATATATCTCAATCAGTGACACCAATATGTCCGCAAGGATACTTTTCTGCATTACATACTGAGTTTGTTTCTGCAAAAATGCCCTACTACTCAGTTAATTATCATTGCCTGTTCTGTGTAAACAAAAGGACTAAATTGCATCACTTTCATGCAATGCATCACAGCCATGATTTAGAATTGATGTAACTGCTCGCAGACAGTGAATGTGGTTTTATGTTCATCTCATTCAGATTTCACTTTGGTTCTCTGCACTGGTTCTTGTTGTAAGCCTGCTGTGAGAACAGAAAGCCAGGGCCTATCCAGAGGCCAGCAGCTAGTGAACCCATTGCCCTCACACTGAAGATCAGCCACAGTTCTATCCACCACTAAAGTAACGTTACCTGTCCGACATGTAGCCAACTGCTCCGTTATCAGTTTGCATTTTATTTCATTAAATAAAGTTCATTTGTTATGAAAATAACCTCCCGTCCCCAGCTCACTAACGTTAGCGTTAAACATTTTCCTTTTAACAATTTACATGTGAACACACTAAATATTATTAATAGTAATTATAAATGTTGCATGTCGTTGATGTTAATAGTACTTATTTATCATCCTATAGCATTCCGTTCAATGTAGGATCAGAAGACAGCTGAGTTAGTGGTTAGCTATTAGCTTAGCTAACGTTAGCGTGTATTGTGGACAACAACATTAGCTTCTATTACACCAAGTTACCGTCGAGGGTTTAACAAGGTCGCGTTTTTCAGACTCGTTCGCTCATATGAAGCGCAGAAACTTGCAACACTGCCAGTGTATCTTCTGAGTTAACTACTGGGTCACACTGTAACGTTAATTGGCGTAGGGCTAGCTAGCTTACTGCCTAGCAAACAAAGGGCTTCAAATAAGGGAGGTGGATGTTAGCGTGCTAGCCAGCGTTAGCATGTTGCGTTACGTAGCTTTTTATGTTAGCAGCGAGAAAGACATAACACCCCGCACCCCCGTTAGAGTTAAACCAAACATAACATGCCTGCTGGCTAGGTTCGCACTGCTATGTTAGTAGCTAGCTGAGGCAGCTGCTAGCAGAGCCCAGGCTGTGGTCGTGAGGAGAATGTCCAAACACAACAACACATCTGGATCACTTCACATCATTTCATACATTATTTACATGCAGTTGGTTAAATGCTTAAAATATAGTGTTTACCATGCGAGCAGCCTCAGCCCAGGTCCGCTCCTTCTTTCTCTTTTGTTTGTCCTTCATTTCCTCTGCGCTGGTGTCTGCGGCTAGCCTGCTGTGTGTCTACAAAGCAACCTCCGTACGATGGCGATTTAGCTGCTTAGCAAAATGGCTAACTCCGATCTGGGTTAACTATGTATAGAACCCAAACAAGACGTTCCTGTTAGCTCGGGACGATGCTCTGCTGTCTGCTAGGCTCTGCTGATTGCCGCTACTGTATCTAAACTAACTCAACACACATCGTTATCTCTGTGGCACAGAAGCAGTGTGAATGCAGGGCTGGCTGTGGTGCTGCTGCAGGACAAGCCTCTATGGAATGCAACAACCAGGTCAAAGGTCAAACCCTCCGCAGGAATGCAACAAAACAACGTCCAGCCCCTCCGCATGTAAATAGTGCATTTGAGCAGATGCTGCATACAAATAATAACATTTGATATTAGAATAGCATAGTTTAGATTGAGCCCTCCACCCACCAGCACACACATATTATACATTAACAGTTTAACCGATACAAATTGAGTCCATCATTTTTCGGAGCTACTACATTTAGAATATTATGATATTATGGCTAACGTAAGTCATTAAATCAGAGGTCTCGAACTCAAATTGGCTTGGGGCCACTCAAGAGGGCTGCTTAAATGTCCAAGTACTACAAGAAAGTGCAATATTCTATTTTATTAATACTACTAAGATCGTACTTAACCAAAAATGAAAGAAAACATCAGTTTTCATACTTTTCATTATCATTATAAATTATGCTCTCTTTTTATTAACCCTTTGCACACATTTGCAGGTACCTTTGACCTTTGCCATTATTTTGCGCCAAACTAAATACATTTCAAATGGAATTGTGTTATTATTCTAACTGAATATGAAGGGTTAGTTTCCCTGATATGAAACAATTAGAAAAAAACTAGATATTTTTTTGACATTGTGTCCCAAACTAAAGCAAGAGGGCCAGAAGTGGCCCTCTCTTATTTGTTTACACATTAACAAAATATACAAATATGTGATGGAGCACTGCAGTGCATACCTTAATCTAATGAATCACTGATTTTGGAATCAATAATATGGTGTTTTAATTATTTAATACAAATGGATTGTGATTTGATGATTGTGATGACTGATGACAAAATTTTATTTGTGTTTGTACAGAGCAAACTCCATCAAGAAAACCCTGAGTGAACAGCTTTCCATTTCAAGAATGAACTTTCATGCTAAATGAGTTATGTATTAAGCTACTTTTTTTTTCTTAGGTCGCTGGTTCCCAGCCTGGGCATCCTGACCTTCACTAGTGGCCGCCGAAGCTTCATGGGGGGTTGCAGTGCCTTCTTGAGTTTAAGGGGTGTGTTAAATACAACACAGTAGATTAGAAAAGAATAAACTTTATTGTCCCCAAGGGGAAATTTGTCTTGGGCACAGTGCTACAATTTGTTGTTCACAGAAACAAACATACATCAACAACAAATACACATCTAGACCTATATCTCAGCTTTTCATTTAGTTCTGTTACGAAATTAAAATATTTTTTAAGCTGTTAAAGTGGTTCTCAAACTATGGTAAGTACACAAACACTGGTGGTATGCAAACTGCCTCTTGTGGTATGCAGAGGAATCTTTGAAATCAATTTTTTTAAATGATATATTTAATTTAAAAATATAATGCTATCAAAATTTAGAATGAAAATACTAAAAGATCACTGAAATGTAATTTAAAATTAGTTTTGCATTTCCTGTAACATGTAGTTTCAATATCAGCAGGAACTGTTGGGAGGAGAAGTGTGGATCAGGAGGACCCCTTTTCCACCAGATTAGCTCTGGTTCTTTAACCATTTCCGTTCAGGATTCAACAGCAGCCAACAATAAATAATCTTTCTATTAGGAATAAACCTGCTTCCTGTGTGAACTATCTGTAGCTGTCACAGAATTCCCTGTTTATATCTGAAATAATAATCTAAAGTGAAGACATGAACACAAGCTTTATTGACCCAACCTTCACTCTTTGACAAACAGCCTGCTTTTGAAAAGTTCAAACAACCAAAGAACTAAAACAACAATGAATAGAAAACTCTAAATCTGTCAAAAAGAAGCCTATTAATTGTGTAATATTAACAGAAAAGGGCTCCTTTAAGGGAAAAGACTGGGAATCAGTGTCCTAGAACAACAGAGCCTTTAACAAAAGGAAATCTATTAACAAGCAGTACAAAATCCGTTCACACAGCTGAACACCAGTAGTCAATTAAATGGTTAGTCAATGACAGAGAATGATTATGCAACAATTTTGCACTTTGAAGACATCACCTTGGAGTTTGTGGATATTGTGATGTGATTATTTTATGGTGGTTTAAGTCCATACTATTAATACTTTTAACTATTAATCAACAAAATAATTTGGTAGATTTAATTGATAATGCCCAAAACTATTAAAGAGAAAAAGGTCATGTTTACAACATATGCATACAATTATGCACTGTGATAGCTTACCTATCCAGTATAGACCGTTATATACTAGGGTTATGTATTGGCAACAATGTGGTCATATGATACGTATCACGATACAGGGCTTAGGATTCCATATATTGTGATACTGTACAATTTCAATTAATAGCTTTTATTTACTTCAATCACTCAACTCAACCTGCCTTCATTTGGAACAGGCCTTTAATTCCTTTTGCACAAAACTCTTGCTCAGCAAAGATAGAAATACTATCAAATTGTTTATTTAAACCAGTATGAATATTACTGTAAACAAGGTGATATATTACAAATCTTCTAAAAATATAATTAATTGTATAAAGAACAAAAAAAGGATTTTTTTTATGCAACCACAACAGTGGGATCTGCATGTATATGTATCACAGTCCAACATCACAGCCCACAGTTTATCTTTACAGCACTGCAGTCTGTTGGGGGTTAGAAAGAGACAAAAGAGTAGCTTTTCTATATTATTGTTAAAACTGCTCTGTGTGTGTTTCTTCTGTTTTATAGTCTGCTTTTTGGCCTTTGTGTTTTTTACTGTGTTGTTTTTACGGTTTTTGCTCTATTTTGATAATACAACACTTTGGTCAACTGTTGTTGTTTTTAAAAGTGCTTTATGAATAACGTTGGCAGTCCGGTAGACAGCTAGGTGTAATATTTGATTTTAACCTCAATTTAGGATTTTATATTTGCATTTTAAAACTCACAGTTTTGCTTCTACCACCTCAGGAATATCCCCAGGATCCAGTTTTGAATTTTAGAGATACTGGTCCTTCATTCTTTCACTTTCTAACACATAATCAGAAAACAAATGAAAAATAGGACATATCACTCCACTTTATACTTGTTGTCAGATGCTACTCATTCTATACTCATGGGCTCAGTGTTTCTAGAGGTTGAAGACTGAAGGAGACAGACCCTTTGCTGTGGAATGACCTGCCAGGGGTATGGTCCACAAAACTACTGTAAATTGTATCCAATGTTTTTATTAACGTCTGTGCATGTGTGTGTTTTGTAAATGAACCCATCTTGTGTATATTAGTGTACACATATGTGCATGTCAAATTCCGTTTTTTTTTTTTAATTCTGTTTACTTTTGATTGTTTTGTGCCTTTTATTGCAGCACTTTGTAATAGTAATAAACTTTATTATAATTTAATTTATATATATGGAGGGTCTCTGTTCCTGTGTTACACCCCAGGGATATATATATACAGATACATCCTCCTAATGTTTGGGGATCAGTTTGTTTTTAAATGTTCATTACAGAAAATATCGTTTGTGCCAGTTAAGTTTTTATATTATCTAAGGTACTGTTTGGAGGAGGAACACACACCAAAGACCAAATATTTCCCCAGCAGTCATGTGCCTCTGGATTATTTCCCTCATACACACATTATTATTTGACCATGTATAGTTCTGATTCAAGATGACAGATGAGTCTTAACAGCTCATGGAATAGCATTATCTTTAATGCTATTCAGCACACTCTAAGGGAGTACTGTTGTATTCTAAATAAACTTTATTATTTTTCACATGTGACCCCAATCTTCTTCCGTAGGGATTTGTTACTCCTATTGTCATAATAAAAAGTCAATCAATATCTGTATTAAAAACACGAGTTTAATTCAGACGGAAATGCCGCTGTTATTATATATAGAAGAGGAATATCATCATGCAGTGGAGCAGCACAGACACTCGCTTTATGGGAGCCCAGGGTGTGACGTCACTCTCCCAGAATGCATGGCTTCCAGCGCGGCGCCCAGCGGTCCAGGCCCGGACTCTAAGAAACATCTTTAAAACTTGTTCCAAAATGTCGATGTGGAGACGGAATGGAGGCTGGACGGAAAGCTGGACTGAGACGCTGTTGGTAAGTAGCGGTTGTGTCCGTGTCTGTCGCCCTGAGCCGGAGTGCACCGTTTATCGGTAAAACGCAGAGGAGTTAGCTCCCGCAAGACAAACTCCGATACAAGTTAGTGAAGCGCTCATCTTTTGTTTTTTAACCAGCATGCTGGCTCAGCTAACTCTTTAAGTTCCCCCGCAGCCGCACTAACGCCAACCAGTGGCTTCACTCGATGGAAACCGCGGTAATACGAGCGCAAACTTCTGAGCACCGAACCGAATTTCACCTCTGCCGCTGAATTTTGTAAAGGCAGCCTGGCTAGCAGTCAAATTTAGCCCCGGTCTGGCAATGACCCCGTCCCAACAGTCTCTATCAGGGTACGCCGTTATTTTAGTCCAGCTCACATGAGCCTGGTTGGAAGTTTCCCCCTCACTTTATTTGGCTCCAAAGAGACCAACATTTAGCTTAACACAACTGGAATGGTTTAAGCAGAAAAAGTGTGTGGATTAAAGCTGCATGCAGCTCCATGTTGAGGACCCACAAGATGGCACTACCAGCTCCCATCACCGTGCTCCTGATGCAAACTCATCTCCAATGTTGGTAAATATGTTTAAACTCTGTAGTTGAGTCAAAGTAAAAAAGACCGTTTCATTATGGTATGTAGATACTACTTAAAGCTGCAGTAGGTACCTTTTCTAGAAAGGAACTTTTTGTCATATTTTTGAAACTTTAACTATATATTCTTCCCACAATCCGCCGGGCCTAAATGAAAACAACCAATCAGAGCCGAGAAAGACAGTTGATTGTTGAGTCTCATTTCCAGCATCTGTATTTGACAAGACAGCAATCAACTATCTTTCCTGTCTCTGATTGGTTGTTTTCATTTAGGCCCGAATGGACTCTTGCAAATCCCATTTGGAGCACTAGGAGGAGCCAGAGGAACCAGATTTTTTTTTATATAGATCTGTCTCATGTACTACTGTCAGGATATAGTAAAGGTTTCAGCAAATATGACAAGAAGTGTCTTTTTGTTTTTGTTTGTTTCAAACTTATCTACTGCAGCTGTAAAGTCCTCAGCCATTCAAATAAGTGTTTGTTCTTGTTCCTACAGCGTGCTGTTTGAATGATGTATGTGCAGAGTTTGACACTAGAAGGATGTTTTCACATTCATCTGCTGAAAGTGGAAAGTTTCTCTGTGCTCATTGAAATTCTGAT